CAAATCTGTTGAGAGGAGCGAAATTGCCTTTATTATCTCGCGTTCCGGGGGATCTCTTTGGAGGTTAAGCGTTTTTTTTTTTTTTTTTTTTTTTTTGGAAAAGAAAACATGACGTCGCCAGCAAAATTCAAAAAGGATAAGGAGATCATAGCTGAGTATGACACCCAAGTTAAAGGTAGGAACGGTTTTATTTCCATCCCTTTTGGCCACTGCAGTCCTGACTCGCGACTGTAGGAGTTTGCGGTGGATGTTTGGGTGGGGAAGGGGAGGGGAGGGGAGGGGGGGGGTTGGAAATCATTTGCAGATTGCCTGGAATTTGCAGGGCTTTTTCGTAATACAATGCTGGATCGGGTTTGCTGTGCTGTTCCTCGTCCCCACGGGGTAGTTCCTGCTTTGGTATTGCCGTTTTAAGGTACCACAGCCAGGGCTTTTTTTTTTTTTTTTTTTTTTTTTAAGGAATACACACGTTTTTGAGTTCGGAGGGAGATCCATATTTTCCTGCCTGCCGTTTCTGAAATAGGGCTTTGCATGTGAAATGCGAGAGCCGGGGAATTGCTTTTTAATCCTCTGCCTGTCATGGGAATCTTTCAACAATCTGTGTAGTGTCAGAGAAGAGCGTATTTCCACTGGTGGTGATGGGGACTGTGCTGAGGGGGTCCCTGCGAAGCTGTTTGTGCTAGAAACTTCCATTTTTCCAGGATTCTGCTGTTCCTGCTGAGTCCATAATATTGCTGCCTGGTTTTCCTTAACTGTGCTTATGAGTGTAACACCTTAAGGCTGCAGTGTGTGGGTGTGGGTGTACACACACACATATATATACACACAAATATAAATGAATAAAACTGGTGCATCAGTGTCATCCCCATCATCAGAAGGAATAATAAACAGGGGTGGATTTGCAGTGACCATGCAAGTCTTCTGCTGGCTGGGTTTCAGGCCATCATGTGCCTTAGGTTAAAAATAAATAAATAAAAAAAAAAATTCCCGACATAAAGGATGGTGAAATGCCTCCTGGGCTGCTTAATTTTCGCGAAGTTTTCAAGACGATATGTATTTAAAAAAAAATTAATTAATTATGGCTCGTGCGTGGCTTGATATATTGCTGTTAGGAAGTTATGAGATTCAGTGATTTATCTAATTGGCTAAAACTTGCTTGGTATGCTCAGAGCTTGCAGGAAAGATGGCCTTCGGGCAGGGCTGATTGAGTTCAATCGATGCAATTTGGCCAAAAAAAAAAAAAAGAAAAAAAAATTATTTAAATCCGAGTAGGAAACCTGAATTAAAGCTGACAATTAAAATATTGTTTTGCAATTGGGTGCTTGGTTATTTTTCCTGCTGGGAGGGCTGCTCGTTGGTTGCAAATCATTAAAACGTTTTGTCCTCCAAGGCATGTCCTACACTGACCCCAGTGCCCTGTACCTAGAAGTTGAAAATGCTTATCTGAGCAAATATAAAGCTGTGTAAGAGTTTATTTTGAATTATTTATTTATTTATTTATTTATTTTGATGCTTAGGTTCTCCAAGTTAGAAATGGAGAAGGGCGTGTTTCTCTTTCACTGGTTTAGTTTCTATTCCTGTTTTCTAGCTGGCTTTGGAAATGGGAATTGAAGGCAGTGTAAAATTAGAGGCTTGTGTGTTCTTTCATTATTTACCCCATCAAAGTCTGCGTGATGGATCCAAGCCTGCAGTCACAATATTTGGGAATAACGAGAAGCAGGGCTTTAGAATTAGCAGAGCACATCTTCTCACCTCTCAGTGCTTTTTCATGAATTGGAAATTTTCGCTTCCTTTTCAAACAAGAGACCAGGAAAAAGGGGGAAAATGGGAATGAGCCTTCCCTGTGTGTGCAGGACTCAGCTCCTGGAGGTGCCAATATGCAGAGAGACCTGTAAATGGGATCCCAAAAGTGAACTGCAGTAGTGGCACCTTTTTGCCTTTTTTTTTTTTGCCTTATAAAATGTCCCTCTTCTGAATACCTGAGGTTAAGAAGGCCGGAAGTGTGTAAATGGATCAGGAGGAGCCGGGAGAAGGAGGTTTCCTTCCTGAATTGGCACTGAGGGCAGCGAGGAGTTTGTCTCGGGGTGTTCATCCCTCTCACAGTTCAGCTTTCCCTGCACGAGGATTCCAGGAGGTGTTAATCCATCCCCTGCTCTTCCTTGAGAGGGAGGTGTGGATGGACCAAAGAGCTCCAAAATGCACGTGGCAATCCTGTAACATCCCCTCATTTCTTTTGGAGCACGGAGGGAGCTTCCCTTCTCCACCTGGAATGAACCTCTCAGCTTTGACCACAGGGATCGTTGTCTCTCTGCTTTTAGGGTGTCAAGATTGAGGGCAGACTTTGAAGTCATCTGCTCCTTTTAAAATGCCATTAAACTTGCTTGACATCTCACAGGAGCCTTGGTTCTGAGTGATGTGATTCCTCAGGGAAACTCCTGTGAGCAGTGAGACCCCTCACCTCTAATTCCAGGGATGTTCTGGTTTCCCCATCCCAGTGGGAAGATGAGATGGTACTGAAGACACACTTAAATCCACAGGTGTGGTGCTGCCTCATCATCAAACATCACACAGAAAAAAAATGTGGTGTCCTGAGCCCTGACAAATTCTGACCTTAATTGTGGGGACGGCGTGGAAATGGTGTTAACTCAGATTAGGGTTGTTTGATGTCTTTTCTCTCGTGTTGTGAAATGAAGCAGTAGCTGTGGGGGTGAGGTGAATCACGTGTTGGCGTGTTCCATGAATTGTAAGGTATCATCTTCTTCTCAGATGAGATCTTTTTTTTTTTGGTTTTTTTTTTTTTTTTTTTCTTTTGCTCCGCTCCATCCTGGCTGGAAATCGTGTTTAGAGGCTTCATTTAAAACCATTAATCCACAAACACCTACTTAAGCACTTTAAATGATTGCTAATGGAATGATGGGGCTTTGTTTAAAAATTTAATAGTCTTTAAGTTGCTAATCAAAACGAATAGTTTGGTTAATAGATGGTCGGTATGCAAAATTCTTGATTTGCCTTTGCTGAATGAACTCGGTGGGTTTTTTTGGTAAAAGGTGCAAAGGGGTGACAGGGCAAAGGGGTCATGGAATGGCTTGGGTTGGAAGGACCTTAAAGACCATCCAGTTCCACCCCCTGCCATGTGCAGGGGCATCTTCCACAAGCCCAAGTTTATCCAACCTGGCCTTGGGCACTGGCAGGGATGGGGCAGCCACGGCTTCCCTGGAAAATGTGTTCCAGGGTATTGAAGCCAGTATTGGAACCAGGCTGGGTACAGCCTTGAGCTACTTGCTCTGACCTGAGCACCAGAGTGTGGGGCTGGGTGACCTCCTGAGCTCCCTCCCAAGCTGGATAATCCCATGATCCCGTGGTCTCCAGCACCTGGAGGTTCTGGTCTGGTGCAGAAGGGAATTAACCCGCAGAGATGCCCAGACCTCGAGTCTTGGGCCATCAGGTTTGGCTTCTTGGTTGTCCCCTCTGCACTTGCAGAGGTTTCCACTACTAGAGGGCTGCTCTTGTGAGATTTTGGAGAGCCCCTCTCTCCGGGGAAGCTCTGAGATGCCTGCGTGTCACACGGGAGGAATTCTCCTGACAAGATGACACGGGGTCAGCAGGGGAGGGAAGCGCTGCTTTGATACGTCTCTGTGCCATGTG